TGTTCCATAACTCTGCATTTGGACTATCTTGGTATATGTTTGTGAATATTTAATTAATTATTAAGACATTTGAATACAATATGTTTTCTGTACTTTTTCAGTGTAGAAATTTATAAATGTCATGATGATTTCTGTTATTGTTCAAATCTTTTATATTTTTCTCTTTCTGAGAGAGGTATTAAAATATTTAAAAATGATTGTATATTTATATATCTCTTAAATTTTTCCAACTTTTATTTTGGTATTCTGAAGCTCTCTTCCTAGGTAGACACACACTTTGGATTATTATGTTTTTATACTGAATTAACTTTTTTATTATGAAATGACTCTCTGGCATTGCCCTTTTCTATATGTTCTCCATTTCCTGACATTACCATTAACATTGCCATGGTACATATTTTTCACCCTTTTAATTTCAAACTATTTTCTTATATTTAAAGAACAGTTATTATAAAACACAGCAATGGATTTTGATTTATTCTCCTATGTGATAATTTTTTGTTTTTAATTATAGTATTTGGCCCATTTATATTTAATTTAATTTTGCTATAGGAAGTCTGTCATCTTGCTATTTATTTTCTGTTTATGCAATCTCTTCTCTTTTTTCTTCTCTTTCTTTCCTTCCCTCTTTTGTGCTAGTCATGTACATTTATGCATTCATTTATATTTCCTCTATTGATCTTTTATGTTATTTTTAGTGGTTTCTCTAAAAAGTATAGGATGCATGCTTAGCTAATTGTAGTCTAATTTTGCATATCTCACTAGTTTTTACACAATATAAGACTATTAGTTTAATATAATACCATATTCTCTCTTCAATATACGTACTTTGCTGCGACATATTTTATTTATGCATATATTATAAACAACATAATAAATCACTGTATACTTGTATGTAATGTTTTATTTTATTTAATATGTTTTCATAGTTTCCCACATACTTAACTCTTACGGTGCTCTTCATTTTTTCCGTGACAATCTGGGCTTCTATCTGGTATTATAACCTTTTGCCTCAAGACCTATTTTTTAATAATTTTTTGTAGTATAGGTTTTTTGGAGAAAAATTCTGTGGCTATTGTATGTCTGGAAACTTCTTCATTTAGTCTGTTTTTCAAAGATATTTTTGTGGTGTATAGGATTCTAATTTGACAGTTTTTTCAGCACTTTAACTATGTATTTTTATTGTCATAAAGCCTCCATTTAATTTTTTTATAAGAAGCCATATGTCATTCTTATTATTTCTATCTATGTAGTATTTAGTTTTTCTCTATATGGGCCTAGCTGGAATTTCTTTGTACGCATCTACTTGGGGGTTGTTGAATTTTTTGGCTATGCAGGTTGCTGAGTTTGATAGATTAGTTTTCAGCTATTTTCTCCCCACTCAGTATGGTCTGGTGTTCATTTTATAAATAAAGTATCTATTTTCACTCTTCTTGAATCTTGGTTGTTTTTGTGGATTTTTGACCAATAGAATGAATTGGAAGCGATATCATGCTATTTGTGGGAATCACCATTCAGGGCCTGTGAACTTACTTTTTTTTTTTCTCCCTTGGAAACAAGCTTTTATTTTGTTAGAAAGTCTATGCTATCCTTCTATTGTGAAGGCCATGTAGAGAAGCACTGGAAAATTAGCCACACTTGGGTGAGAAAGTACAATGAGACTGAAATGACCCAGTTTAACAGCGTCATATGAGTGATTCAGTTTGATACTACGTGAAGAGAAATAACTACTGAGTCAACCTACAGACTTCCAAGAAATAATAAATCATTTTGTTTTTAAATTACTGGGTTTTTTTTTAGTAATTATTAAACAAGAGATAACAAGTAGAATTGCCATCTAAAAGTAGGGTGTTTCCGTAACAAAAATGTAAAATAAATGTCACCTCTAATAACTTGAATGGTAGACAAAATACTTAACAAACTCTTACATCTGGTTAACTGAGCCCAGCCACTGTGGCTTAGTGGACTGAGCATTGTCTCATGAACTGAGTGGTCCCAGTTCAATTCCCAGTCAGGGCACATACTTCTCTCTCACATTAATGTTTCTATCTCTCTCTCCCTTTCTCTCTCTCTCTGAAAAAGCAATAAATATCTATTTTTAAAAACTGGTTAAGTGATAGCCAGGAAATAAAATGGTGAAAAATTCAAAAGTGTCAATTGGCTTATTTTGGCTGTCTAGCTGTCTGTGATAAAGTATCAGAATAGAGAGATGAGCTGAAGTTCAGTTTTCAAGAAAAATGTGGAGTGAATATTTCCAATATAATAATTACTGGTTTGGAAAATAACCCCCCCCCCCCCTTATTTGCAGCCTTTCCAGCTAGAAAATTGTTCTCAAAGTAAGGTAGGCCTCATGGAATTGATTAAATTCTGAGCGTGTCTCAAGGTCAAGATCAAATCAAGACATAGAAGGCTCTGGAGGATAAGAATATTAAAAGAGACTCCACATAGAGGAGAACCAAAGCACTCCAGCTAAATGAATAAAACTATATGAGTGATTAAAACTGGCAAAATATGGGGTGGTAGAACCACCTAGTCAACCCACATAATTGTAAGTATTTGTGGAATTTTTTCTGTTTTTAATTACTAAGTTTTGGAAGTTAAATCTTATATCTGGGTTATGTAATGATTAGATTCTATTTCAAATACTTTCTCTTTATTATTGAATACCTTTTCTTATTTTTCAGATCTAATTCATAGTGAAATACTATTTATTTTACAATATTAATAAAGATTTGAAAGGTAGAATGGCAGGGATAGATGAGAGGGAGGATTTTTCAATTTTACTGTAGAAACATGCATATTGTTGGAATATTAATTTAATAAATATTTCTACTTTTGCAAGATAAATAAATATTTAAAGGTGTTTAGTAGAGGAAAACACTATATACAAAATTATATTACTTCATAGACTGTAGTGCAGGTTTTTATTTTGTATTCTTTCATGTTGAAGGGGGCCACAAGCTACCATCCAGTTATTTCTCATGAAGTTCATGGATGTACTTCATCAATTCTTATATTCTTGGTCTGCTCATTAATTTAAAAAATTGAATTGTCAACATTTAAAATTTAGGTGACTTTTTAAATAAAATATATAGTAGACAAATTAGATTGTTACTTTGTTACTCTGTGCACTTCTCCCACACAACTATTTTTAGTTAAAAAGTTAAAAAATTACATTTCTAAGTGAACTTCTAGATATTATTTAGCTTTAGTTTTCACTATATATACTGCAGTGAGCTCTAAAAATCAGTTTCCAGCTGCTTCTGGTGGCAAACATTATCATGGAGGTTTTTGGTTTATCTGTGGTGATATCCCCTGTCACCAGTTTGTGGGAATTAAGGAGCAGTGCCAGAAGATTCATGCTCTAGTTGTTGTTGCTATTCTTTTCTTGCCAATATTGACCTAATGGGAAAGACATGTCTCTGGATAAAACCAATAAAAGCAGCAATAGCTTCCTAATTGTGTTGTTTTTGGAATCAACAGTTCAAGTGAAATATTCAGGATTTCCACTTTCCTGATTAAAACATAGTTGGCAACTTACTTGAAGTCTGATTCTCCATTGTTCTCTTTGCAGTCATTCTTAAAGATACAGCCTCAACAAATTGCAAACACTCGGTTTTACACGTTGAGGACCTTTATGTTTAAAATAACCTTAGTGGTTTCTGTTTTCTATAACTGATCTCTAAGTAATATTCAAGGAAAACTAAGAGATCTGGCAATATCTGACTCATATTTTAGTTTTGGTAAAATAGGCTGGTTGGGAGCAGTAGATTCCAGTTTACCATAATTTTTAATTCCTCAAATAAAGGTGGCCATATGTTACATATCATTTTTCCATGTATTTACAGTTTGCCTTTATTTTTTTAATCCCACTTCTCATATTTATTTTACTGTCCTGGCCCCTGTAGAGATCTGTATTTGCAACTCTTTAATACATATCTAAAACTTGGTTGAAAAAATAGTAATTTTGATGTAAGGTCTTTTAAATGATACAATTATTCAATTTAGTAACTACTCCACAATGTCTCAAAGAAAAGCTGGACAATCAGAAAATTATAAACAAAACTTGCATTATTCAAGCTGCTGATAGAATTAGTTTTACTGAATTAAACTTTTCCATTATGTGCCCAGCTGGTGTGGCTCAGTGGTTGAGCATCAACCCATTCACCGAGAGGTTGCTGGTTTGATTCTCAGTCAGGGTACATGCCCAGGCTGTGGGCCCAATCCCCAGTGGGAGGCATGCAGGAGGCAGCCAATTGATGTTCTCTCTCATAGATGTTTCTTTCTCTCTCTCCCTCTCCCTTCTTCTCTCTCTAAAATCAATAAAGAAAAATTTAAAAAAAAACTTTTCCATGATCTTACAAACATCCATGATAAGAAACATTCCTATGAAAGTAGTTGTTTTATTAACCCTAATTGTATTTATGTCAATTGTAATGTCACCTCTATTAGGACACAGAAAAGAGATTTTTCAGGTCAAATTTTTTCTTATGATCAGATAAGAGATAATATTTTTATTATTGCATTGGCTGTTAGAAAGGAAGAGCCAAAGCCCACTTGAATGGTTGACGTATAGTAAGTATACCAGACTCCCTGCATGCACCTTGTGTATTAAACTTAATCTTGGATACCTTATTACACAACTCTTGTTCTCTTTTCTCTTTACCCAGATTTCTTCAGGTAATTAAAAACAATGTTATTGTACAATATTTTGAAACCTACATTGAAAGCCCAATTATTTTCCACAGATGCTGCACCATTTGATATTCCAACAATTAATATATAAGAATTTCAATTTCTTCACATACTCTTCAATAGTTTTTGTTTTCCTTCTTTTGTTTTTTGGTTACAGCCTTCCAAATGAGTGTGAAGTAGTATCTCACCATGGTTTTGATTTGAATTTTCCAAATGACTAGTAATGTTGAGATTATTTTCATATACTTATTGGCCATTCCTATCATCTTTGAGGTGATGTCCACTCAAGTACTTTTCCCATTAAAAAATATATGAAACACTTCATGAATTTATGTGCCATCCTTGTGCAGGGACATTCTACCATTCTCTGTATCATTTCATTTTTAATATATGTGCTGCCAAAGTGAGCAATTTGCCCATTTTTTAATTGTTCTTTTTATTGTTGAATTAAAAGAGTATTATTTATGTGTGTTTTTTTTTTCTAGATACAAATCCCTTGTCAAGTATATGAATTAAAAATATCTTCTCTCATTCTGTGGCTTATATATATATTTTTCTACTCAACGCATTTTCAATAGGCTATATATTTTTTTAATCTTTTGCAAGGGAGTAGGAAGGGAAGCTAACCTAGGGAGAAATACAGTTACTCTTTTATTAAGTATGATATTAGCCCTAGTTTTTTGATAGATGTTCTTTATCAAGTTGCATAAGTTTCCTACTTTCTTGCTTACTGAGAGTTTTCTTATGGCTAGGTGTCAAATTTTGCCAAATACTTTTTTTTCATGAATATATGTGCTCTTATGCTTTTTCTTCTTTATCTGTTAATATATTAAATTACATTGATTTATTTTTGAATATTGAATCAGTCATTCATCCCTTAAAAAATCTCACTTGGTTGTGGTGTGTAATTCTTTTTATATATTGGTGAATTTTGTTTGCTATTATTTTGTTAAAAATTTTCATATTTATATTTATGGAAGACAGTGATTGGTAGTTTTGTGCTGATCTGTCTGGGTTTGTTATTAGGGTAATACTGGCTTAATATTTTCAATTTCCCATTTTATCACTTGTCTTTTGTGTCATATGTAACACACCATAGCCTAACACAAGGTCACAAACATTTATTCATATATTTTCCCTTTAGAGTTTTATCATTTTAGCTCTTAAATTTAGGTATATGAGATACGTCAGTTTACTTTCGGTATGATGTATGGTAGGAGTCCAACTGCATTTCATGAATTAGAATAGCCAGTTATCTCAACACGATTTGTTGAATAGACTATTTTTCCCTATTGCTGTGGCTTGGTACCCTTGTTAAAAGTCAAATGATGATGAATTTAACAATTTATTATTATATCTACAATTCTAGTCATTTGATCTATTGTTATCAAAGGATCACACAATCTTAGTTATTGTAGCTTTGTAATAAGTTTTAAAACTGTGAAGTATGACATTCCAAAATGGTGGCAGAGTGAATGGAAGCTACACAGACCATCTTCCAGGATCAAACTGGAATTACAACTAAAATAAAGACAAATTGTAAGGAAAAAGCAACAGAAAAGCAGCTTGTGAGAACCATTTAACTATGGACAACTAATCAATCCTGGTAGGATTGTGGAGGCGTGAGAGGGGGGCTGGAATACCACAAACAGCAGCGGTTGTGGCTCTGAGCAGTGCACTCGAGGTTAAACTACCAAGCAGCTCTACAGCACAGAGCATGGACAGAGTGCTAAAATAGCCATAGCCACTCAACATGGCTCTGTCAGAGGGAGGGCAGACTAGATGGGAACTGTGTGGGGACACTCAGAATTTGAAGGGTGCATAGAGTCTTTGCTGAGTTGCTGCCTCCCAGGACTGTGGTCATCTTATAACTTCCTAGAGCTTTGGGGAGAGGCAAAGCCCCTTCCTCAGAGATTCAACCCCACCCAATGGCCATTGAAATTCAAATTGAGGCCCATTAACAACCAGCATATGCCCCACCCTCTGGAAATCCCCTTACACTAGAAACCAGAGGGAGTTTTTCATTCAACTGAGACCCAAAGGCTCTTCAAGTAACCTCTACTGATCGTCTCCAGGCAAAAAGCTAGAGGATAACAGAACTATGCCTGGGCATGCAAATCTACCTAGAAAAGTAAGACGTGACAGTGGTGTTTAACATGGGCCCACACAGGCTCATCCAAACCCAAAAGAGGGAGCCACAAACAGCAGAACACCAACACCCATAGGGAAAATTTGGCAGGCTCCAAAATCCACTGAGATACCCAAAAGGGTAAAATAAAGAAATAAATCCCAAATGGAAGAACAAGAGATCTCTGCCAAAAAAGAGATAAATAAAATGCAGTTAAGCAAGTTAACAGAGCTAGAATTCAGAGCCATGATCTTGAGGAAGCTCAACAGCATGAGTAATGACATCAGCACCAAGAGCAAAGATATAGAAACATTGAAAACCAACCAAGTGGAAATAAAAAATGGCATAGCAGAAATAAAGAACACATTGGAAGGATTAACCAGCAAAGTAGACAAAGCTGAGGACCAGATCAGTGAATTAGAAGACAGGGTAAAAAAAAAAAATCAACCAATCAGAAAACAAAAGGGAAAAAACAATTAGAAAACAGGAAGACAGCTTAGGAGAACTGTGTGACAACTGGAAACATAATAATATTCACATCATAGGAGTCTCCAAAGAAAAAGATAATGAGCAAGGGTTAGAGAATATATTTAAAGAAATAGTGACAGAAAACTTCCCTAATTTGGTGAAGGAAGGAGGCATTCAAGTTCAAGAAGCACAGAGAGCCCCAAGTAAGAAGAAGCCAAACAGTAACACGCCAAGACACATAATAATTAAAATGCCAAAAATTAAAAACAAAGAGAGAATCCTTAAAGCAGCAATAGATGTGCAACAGGTTACTGAAAAAGAAATCCCCATAAGGCTCTCAGCTGACTTCTCAACAGAAACACTACAGGCCAGAAGAAAGTGGCATGAGGTAATAACAGTCATGAAAAACAAGGATCTGAATTGAAGACTACGCTACCCAGCAAAGTTATCATTCAAAATAGAAGGTCAAATAAAGAGCTAAGGGAATACAAGAGTACCAAAGCAGCACTGCAAGAAATGTTAAAAGGACTGCTGTAATTAGTAGAAGAAATAGCAAGAAAAATAGAACCACACTAAACAAAAATCGCAATAAATAAGTACATATCAATTATCACCTTAAATGTAAATGCATTGAATGCTCCAAAAAAAATGATAATAATAAAATAAAAAACACAAAAAAACAAAAGACACAGAGTAGCTGATTGTATAAGAAAGGATAAATTTTATGTATGTTGCTCACAAGAGACGCAACTCACAACAAAAGACTCACATAGCTTGAAAGTGAAGTGATGGAAAAAAATATTTCAAGAAAATGGAAAGGAAAAAAAAATGAGGTAGCAATACTCATATCTGATAAAATAGATTTCAAAATGAAGGCATTAACAAGAGACAAAGCAGGCCAATACATAATATTACATGGATCTATCCAACATGAAGATATAACCTTGGTAAACATGTATGCACCCAATATAGGAGCACCAAAATATATTAAAAATCTTCTGGAGGATTTCAAAGGAGAAATCGACAGCAATACAATCATAGCGGAGGACTCAAAACCCTGCTGACATCACTGGATATATTCTCTAGACAAAAAAAATAGCAAGGAAACAGAGACCCTAAATGAAGTACTAGACCAAATGAATTTAATCGATATCTACAAAGAATTACACCCCAAAACTGAAGAATTTACATTCTTCTCAAGTGAACATAGGACATTCTCAAAGACAGACCACAAAATAGGACACAAACTAAGTCTCTACAAGTTCGAGAAGATGGAAATCATATCAAGCATCTTCTCAGATCACAGTGGCATGAAACTCGAAATCAATTGCAATAAGGACATGCAAAGACATTTGAACACATGGAGGCTAAATAGCATGTTATTAAACAACAAATGGGTTACTGAGGAGATCAAGGAAGAAATTGAAACTTCCTGGAAACCAATGAAAATGAAAACACAACACAAAATCTATGGGATGCAGCAAAAGCAGTTCTGAGAGGGAAGTTCATAGCACTACAGGCTTACCTTCAAAAACAAGAAGAATCTCCAATAGACTATCTAACCTCACACCTTATCCAACTAGAAAGCAAACAAAAAGAAAACCCCAGAGTAAGTAGAAGGAAAGAAATAGCAAAAATTAGAGCAGAAATAAATGAGATAGAGAACAAGAAAACAATTCACAGGATCCATAAAACAAAGAGCTGTTTTTTTTTTCAAAAAGAGAAATAGGATTAATGAACCCTTAGCTGGACTCACCAAGAAACAAAGAGAGAGACCCCAAATACACAAAATCAGAAATGACAGGGGACGTGTAACAACGGACACCACAGAATAATAAAGGATCATTAACAAATATTATAAACAATTATATGGCAACAAATTCGACAATCTATGCAAAATAGAAAAATTTTTAGAAATACACAGTTTCCCAAAACTAGACTAGGAAGAGATCGAAAACTTGAACAGAACAATAACAACAGCAGAAATTGAAGATGTAATCAAAACTCTCCCAGCAAACAAAAGCCCAGACCCGGGTGGCTTCACGGGGGAGTTTTACTGAACATTCAAAAAAGAACTAACACCCATTTTACTCAAACGATTTCAAAAAATTCAAGAAGAAGGAAGACCTCCAAATTCGTTTTATGAGGCCAGCAAAATTTGAATTTCTAGACCAGGAAAAGACACGACAAAGAAAAAAAACTACAGACCAATATCCCTGATGAACATATATGCCACAATTCTGAACAAAATACTAGCAAATTGGATCCAGCCATACATCAAAAAAGTTATTCACCATGACCAAATGCTATGCATACCAGTGATGCAAGGCTGGTACAATATTCACAAATCAATTAATGTGATACACCACATAAACAAAATGAAGAATAAAAACCACATGATTATACAATAGATGCTGAAAAATCCAGCACCCAAATCTGATAAAAACGCTCAGCAATGTGGGAATAGATGGATCATATCTTGACATAATAAAGGCCATATATGAAGACCTACAGCCAACATCATACTCAATGGGCAAAAACTAAAAACATTTCCCATAAGAAAAGGAACAAGACATGGAGGCCTCTTTGCCACTCTTATTTAACATAGTACTGGAAGTCTTAGCCACAGCAATCAGACAGGAAGAAAAAAAGAAAGGGATCCACATTGGAAAGGAGGAAGTGAAACTGTCATTATTTGTAGATGACATAATATTATAGAAAACCCTAAAGACTCCATCAAAATTCTACTAGACTTAATAAATGAATTTGGCACAGTAGCAGGATACAAAATTAGCATCAAGAAATCAACAGCATT